GGGCCAATCATAACCGTAAAGAGACCGTTGGGCTCGTGCCCCTCGCGGACCAATCAAGACTGGCAAAGGGACTGGTGGTCACGTGCCCCAAGTGAACCAATCACGATTGGCAAACGAGTGTGGCTCCATGATTGGCCCAACTGAAGTAAGCTTGCAGCTTCTGACCAATCCGGAGGCCAGGAGGCAGCCGTGGACGAGGCGGCCCCGCCCACCAGGAACGGCGGCTGGCGCGGTGGCGGCCGTCGAGGGCACCGTGGGGCGCGGGGTCTGCAGGTGCTCCCCGGGAGCTGGCCCTTGAGAAGCGGAGAGCTGTGCCCGGCTCCCTTTCCGCACGGAACCGAGGCCTCGGCGTGGGCTGCAGGGAATGGACCCCCGCCGTCCCCACACCCACTCTCAGCTGTCGGCCGGGCAGGGGCCCGGGCAGCCTTGCGAGCCCTGCAGTTCCGTCGGGAGCACACTGTTGAGGGTCATTAATCTTAATTAACAGATTCGTTGTTTTGAGTTTCTAGGCCGCACAGGCACAGTGGATCCACACTGAGAAATAGAAAATTCCCGCAGTCCTGCCGCCAGACTGTGGGGAGCATCTAGGCAAACATCGCTCTCTGTCTCTTAACGCCCACCCCCTTACCTTCTTTTGAATCACAATGTGCTCGCACTTATCCGCTTTCCTTTACCGCAAGCCTTTGTCCCCAGCTCTTCGTGGTAATGGTGGCTGGTATCCCAGTGAGCAGGTACCCCGTAATTTCTTTGACGAGCCTCTTGTAGTTGGACATTAGGGTAATTTACATTGTTACAGCATTGTCTTACATCCAGCTCCCTTCAGGCGTGGTCTTCAGATCACTGCCACTCATGCCTCAGCCCTCAAGGACAGGTTCTTGCAGACAGGTCGGGGCAGATGTCAGTAAGATGATGACAGAGTATCTGGGGTCCAGTCTCAAGAAATGCATGTCCACGTCCCAGGTCAGGGGATTGATAGCTACACAGCCAGGGCGGCTTAACACAGCTTGGAACATCTTCACTTTTATCCCTGGAAGCAGATCACTTTTAATAATAGTATCAGTTGATACCATGTTTATCTGCCAGTAAAAGAAACCCCATTTAAAAGTGGCTGAAACAAATCATACTTTCTTCTTTTCATGTGACACAAAAATGTAAGCTCCAGGAGGGCAGGGGTTCTGCCTTGTTCACTGCCCCAGCATCTAGAACAGAAGGTTCCCAAGTAGGGATGCTGGAGGACTGCATGAATGACAGGATGCTAGGTGGGCAGTTGCTGGCTTTCGTCTGACAGCTCGACATTGTCAAGTCTGAGATTCAGCCTTTCCCTCAAACTTATCAGCATCAGCCTCACAGCAACGGAAGGCTGCTGCCACTCCACACATCACATTCTCTTCCAAGGCAGGAAGAAGAGGAGAAGGCCACTTCAGCTGTGTCTGTCTTCCTTGAACAGGGAAGCCAGTGCTTTCCCAGAAGTGTCCACTAACATGCCATCAACCACAACAGTGTCTAGAGCAACCTAGGGGCAAGGAACGGACGGGAGCAGCTGGCTTGGCACAGTGCTGCCAGGAACAAAACTGGGGCTGTGTGAAGAGGAGAAGATGAATGGAGAATGGGTGGGCAAGCGGCAGACACTGTCACAAGAGTGTATGGGTAGAGCGTCCTCACTAAGCATTTTTTTTATACAGTTGACTTACAATATCATATTAATTCGAAGTGTACAATATAGTGGTTTGATATTTTTATAGATTTTACTCCATGGAGCAACTATAAAATATTGGCTGTCTTCCCTGCACTGCGCATTACACCCCTGTAACTTGTTTATTTTATACCTGGTAGTTTGAGCCTCCTAATCCCCTTTGCCGTCTTGCTACCCCCCCCCAGCCCCTCACCAAGCGTTTTTAAGTGTCCAGTCCTGCTGCATTAAGTACAGTCACAGCGTCACACAACCATCACTGCTAGTGTCACCACTCCAGACAGAAACCCCCTCCCATTACCAGTCACTTCCCCTTCCCCCCGACTTTCCTCAACCCCTGGAAACCACTTACCTAATCTCCGTCTCTGTGGGTTTGCCGTATGAGTGGAGTCATACACTGCATAGCCTTTTATGTCTGGGGTTCTTCACTTAGCATATTTTCGAGGTTTTATGGCTGAATAATATCCTGTTACGTGGTTAGACACGTTTTGCTTACTCATCTGTCAGTTGATGGTGTTGACATAAATAATAAACAATAATTATAGGCGAGAGGTTTTTTTAAGAACATATTTTGATTGACTTTTTTCTTTTTTTATTCTTTTTTTATAGTTTTGGGGGGGTAATTAGGGTTTTTTTTAATTTTATTTTTTGTGGAGGTACTGGGGATGGAACGCAGGACCCCGTGCATGCTGAGCACGCCCTCCACCACTGAGCTCTGCCCTCCCCCAGGAAAGAGTTTTATCAGAGCCAAACTGAGGACTAGCCCGGAGGCCCGCTTCCCCGTGACTGTGAGAAAGCGCCCCAGAGAAGCGGGGCTTCCAGCACAGCTTCATATCTTGTCAGAACAAAGAAACGTTAACAAGGCAGGGATACATTTCTTCACAGTTTCCAAAAAAAGAAGAGACCAGCAGGTACATGGTGAATCAGCACAGCCTTGGCACCTGCGAAGGCAGTCTTACCATCAGCGGAGGACCAGCACTGGCATCCCAGGAGGAGGGGCATCAATCTTTATTTGTATTTGTAATAGGGACATCTTTGCTTTCAGCCAGTGTGCCCATGTCTTTAATGAGTGAAGCAGATGAACAATGTATGTTTGACGGGCCACAAACAGGCTATTGCAGTTAGCATCAAGCTCAAGCTCACTCGCGTATAAGCCAGAACATCTTCCCTGCATCTCAAGATGTGAACATTTCTTTCATCAAGGGACACTTGGGTGATGTCCACCTTCTGGCTATTGTGACTAGAGCTGCTGTGTACACAGGTTTTCAAGTATCAGAGTAGCCGTTCTCAGCTCTTTCGGGCACATACCTGGAAGAGGAACCCTGGGTCATCTGGTAACTCTCTACGCTGGCCTTGGTGAGGAGCGCCAGACTGTTTTCCACCGCAGTGGCTGCACCATTTGGCAGTCCCTCCAGTAGTGGGTGAGGGCGCCACCCTGGAGAATTTTGAGGGTGACTTCAAACCCCAATGTGGTGTGAAGCTCAGGGGTTACAGGATGGCTTATAAAGCAAAATGGAGGAAGATGGTTAACCTTTACAATGAGTGATTATTACAGGGGGAGAGGGGGCGTCCAGACCACAGAGGGTTGCTTATCTACCATTTTGGGGAGAAAACTTAGGTTTTGTGTAAGATTATCAGCGGCATTCACAATAAATAACCCAAGTTCCGCTTATGTTCCTGAAATAAGCGAGATTAAGTGTTGCTTAACTGGCTTTGCTCGGGGCTCTTCGAGCCTTGTCTCCATTGTACTTTAAACACAAGGAAGCCTGGGAGTGGCTGGCACTCTCCTGGGTGGGTCTTAAGGGAAGTCTGAGAAATGGCCCCCATCTGTGGTCAAACGGGGCAGGCCATGTGATTCCATGTGCGTGACACGTGCGGGACAGGCAGCCCCACAGAGGCAGCGGGCGAGCGGCTTCTCAGGGCTGGGGAGGAGAGGATGGGGCTGATAACAGGTATGGGGTTTCTTTTGGGGGTGATGAAAATGTTCTGCAATCGGAGAGTGGGAATATTTCCAAAACTTTGTGAATACGCTAAAAGCTATGCAATTGTACACTCTAAATAGGTGAGTTATATGGTAGGCAAATTACATCTCCATAAATCTGTTCTTTAAGGGGGAAGAAACGCTTTTCTAAATGTCGTGTGGCATCCAAGAGTGGACCTTGAAACAGAGAAAGGACATTCATGAGAAATTGTATGAAATCCAAATAAAGTCTGTCCTTTAGTTAACAGTGTGGCCCCAACGCTAATTTCTTAGCTTTAACAAATGGTCCGTGGCTAAGTAAGAGGTTAATTCTAGGGGAAACTGGTAAACAATACGCAGAAATTCTCCATTTGAGTTTACAATCTTTCTGTAAATCTAAAATTATTCCAAAATTCAAAGTTTATTCAATTGAAACACAAAAGGCAGCGCTGCTGTGAATGGCCATGTGCCAGCGTGAGGGTCCAGGCGTCCACCCCAGGAGAATCGCGTGCTGGAAGCTTCCCCGGCCCCGCCCACACACGACCACGCAGGTGCCCCTGGACACCTTGGTGACAGGGTGGCTCTGGCAGTGCCCATCCCCCTGCACAGCTGTTCCACACCATGTCCTACGGCCCCTGTGCTGTGAGACTGAAGTCGTCTCCTGAATGTACACGGGCTAGGGCATCCCCAATTCATCCTTAAGAGAGCTGTGGGACTAAAGCGCATCTTACACATTTTGAATAATATTTGAAGGGCCCAAACGCTGGTCCCTCTCAGGTGGTGACAGGGTACACGCATCCGCACAGCTACATTCTGCGCGAGGGAGCCCAGGCCCGCTCTTCGTTGGATTCAAATGAGAAATTCAAACATAATTAACATACATGCCTTATAAATTATGCTAAACTTGGTGAAAGCTGCAGTAAGCACTGATTATCTCCCACTGGTTCTGAAAGTCAGGAACTGGCGAGCAGGTCAGCTGGGTGGTTCTTGGCTCAGGGGCTCTCGGGAGGTTTCAGTCCAGGTATTGGCCAGGACTGGCTGGGGATGGAGGACTCGTTTCCAAGGTGACACACTCACACCTCAGCTCCTTGCCACCTTGACCTCTGCAAAGGGCTGTGTGAACTTCCTTCTGACGAGGGCTGGCTTGTCTCAGAGCAGACGCTGACGTGTCCCCCGTGCCCCGTGTCTGGAAGAGACACCTGCTGTTTTCACAATGCCCTCCCCTTCTGCAGGTCAGCCCAGCTCCCTGCAGGAGGGGCCGCACAGGGCTGTGGTGCTCGGAGGAGAGGCCCACCCACTGGAAGCCATCAAGGAGGCTGGCTCTGGAAGCATCCTTGCACAGTTTCAGGTGAAGGTAGGACTGGAGAAAATGTCCCCATCAACACTACTACAAAGCAAGGGGGTAAAGGGACGTGAGAGGAGGCAACAGGAGGGGCTGGCTTCCTCAGTTTAATGAAGCACATCTACACAGAGCCTACACTAACGTCACACTTCATGGTGAACTGAATGCTTTCCTCCTAAGACTGGGAACAAGGATGTCCATTATTGTCCGTTGACACTGTTTCAACATAGTGTCGGAAATCCTAGCCAGTGCAATAAAGCAAGCAAAGGAAATAAAAGGCATACGGAATGGAAAGGAGAAATAAAACTGTCCAGTTTTGCAGATGCTATGATTGTCTATGTAGGAAATCCCAAAGAATCTATGAAAAAAATCTTTCTAGAATGTATAAGGGAGCTCAGCAAGGTTGCCCAATACAAGATCAGCATACAAAAATCAACCGCACTTCTATAAACCAGTGATGAGCAGGTGTACGATGAAATTAAAACTACAATGCTGTTTATAATTGCTAATAAATAAATAAAATACTTTAAGGTGTGGAGCTAATGAAACACACTGAAGACTTGTATGCTGAAAACCACAAAGTGCTGATAAAATAGATGAGGGGATATCTAAGTAAATGGAGAGAAATACTGTGTTCTTGTACTGGAAGATGTCAGTTCTCCTCAAAATGACATACAGGTTTAAAGTATTTTCTATCAAAAGTCCCAGCAAGAGTTTTTTTGTAGATATAAACAAGATTATTTTTAAATAGGTACAGGAAAGCAAATGAACTATAACAGCTATAAAAATTTTGAAAAAGAGCAATAAAGTGAGAGGAATCAGTCTACCCAGTTTCAAGACTTATTATCTGGCCACAGTAATCAGGACTGTGTGGCACTGATGGAAAGATAGGTAAGAAGACCATTGGACCAGAGTGGTGAAGCCAGTATCAATTCCAACCCCACATTCTCACCAATTGAAAAAGGATGTTTTGTTCTGGATTTTTTAGAAATACTGTATTTTCTTTTGTTTTCAGTCATTTAAATACGAGGGCTTTTTTTTTCCTTGAGGGTACACATGGAAAAGGGAAACCCCAAAATACAGAGGGTTACATTCCAAAAACTTAGTTTTATTTACAACATTCATCTGTAAGGTCACCAGTGCTGAGAATTAAGTATCAAGTAATGTCTGGTGCCTGAATGGTCCTCTCGAAAACGGGAGGCCCTTTATGACCTGGCCCTGCCTCTGTCTCCAGCTTCATTGTCTCCCATCCTCTGTGAGGGCCTGAGCTTTCAGCAATATTGAAGCCTGTTCACCCACAGTCTCTGCCCTGCGTATCCTGTTTGGAACACCCTCTTCTCTGTTCTTTTGGTTTCCCTTGGCTTTTCCCCCAAGATGCAGCCCCAGCTTGACCTCATCCCAGAATCTTTCCCTGACTCCATCCACCTGCCGTCCTCTGGATGCCCAGGGATCCTGTGGCTTCCATGTGGTACAAGGATCATCTGTCTGTCCCCACACCCAAGCTCAGGACTGAGACACTCTCTCTCTCCTTTATTTAAACCATTCACCATGTTAGTGCACAATTCTGCCATTAAGTACCTTCTCAGCGTTGGGCAGCCACCACCTCTAACTAGTTTTGGAGCATCTTCATGGCCCCGAAAGGAAACCGCACACCCATGAGTGGTCACTCCCCACCCCCCTCACCCCCCAGCCCTTGTCAACCACTAATCTGCTTTCTGTCTGTGGACTTACTGAGAATGTTTCTTTCATCTCTACTTCACCAATTCTTATGCAAAAAGGCAAAAATATGCAGTCAGCCCTCTGTATTCATGGGTTGTGCACCCTCAGATTCAACCAACCACAGACTGAAAATATTTGGTGGAAAAAGTTTCAGTAAGTCCCCAAAAGCAAAGCTTGAATTTGCCGTGCACCCGGCAACTGCTGACGTAGCATTTACATTGCGTTAGCTCTTGTACGTAATCTAAGCCGATTTAAAGTATCCGGGACACAGTACCCAACAGCGCAGGAAAACAAATGGTTTATAAGGATGACTTGGGGTGTGAAATAAAGCTTTTGAAAAACCAAGTATATGGGAGGGTGTACACAGCTTATATGCAAATACTATGCCATCTTATACAAGGGGCTTGAGCATCCGCAGAGTTTGGTGTCCGCGGGGGGCCTGGAACCAACCCACCTCGGATACTGTGTCTGGACTGCAGTAGGAAATCACCGCTTTGCTCAGGGGGCAACCAAGCTATGCTGAGTTACCGGCACCACTTAGTGGCCGGATGGGGAACTGTCTTGCTTAATTAACCTCCTCGGTCTCCGTTCTACCCACGCCCCTTGGAGGAGCCTGCCCGAGCCAGTTCCCTGCATCAGTCATTCATCTCCTTTAGGTACCATCTTGGCCAGGTATTGTACTTTCTCCCCACCCACACCGATGGCCTCGAGGTCAGGACGTCAGGGCTAGCGCTCTGCCCTGCTTCCTGCTCTCTGTCTCTTCCCCTGAAGATGTCCTCTACCTTCTTACAAGCTCGACTCTCCACCTGAACGATGCTTCTTAAAGTTTATCTTACACTTCCGGTGTTGTGTGGCAAAAGCATTTTCATAATGTCTAGTCCCAAATATTTCCAGAGTGGAAAGTCCTTGTTTGAATCTTACCGTGAGCCTGTAGAGGATCACTTGTGTGTGCGTAAGAAAGGACGCAAACAAACAGAAGAGAAAAAGGAGGGAAGGGAAGGAAGAAGCAGGCCGCTCACCAGAAGTGAAAGGTAAATATATGCAACCAAAATAATACGTGTTTTCACTTATTCAATTGTCAGCGATTTAAAATTTCTTACAACGCTCATTATTTGGCAAAAGTAAGAAGAAATGTGTTCCCATGTGTAAGCTAGGACAAACATTTTAAACTTTACTTTTCTTAAATTGAAGTGTAGTCAGCTTACAATGTTGTATCAATTGCCGGTGTAGAGCACAATGCTTCAGTCACACATAAATATACATATATCCGTTTTCATGTTCTCTTTCACCGTAAGCTACTGCAGGATATCGAATATAGTTCCCTGTGCTATAAAGTATAAGCTTGTTTATCTATTTTATATATACCAGTTGGTATCTGCAAATCTCAGATTCCCAATTTATCCCTTCCCACCCCCTTCCCCTCTGTAACCGTAAGTTTGTTTTCTATGTCTGTGAGTCTGTTTCTGTTTTATAAATAAGTTCATTTGTCTTTTTTTTTTAGATAAGGCGAAACCTTTTTAGAAGATGAAATTTCATATTCATTGACCCAGAGAATTGGTTGGGAATTGTTTGCAGTTACAGCAGATACTGGAAATAACAATGGTTTAGATAGAATAAAAATTTTGTTGACTGAAAACACACACACACACGCATGGACACGTGCACACACATACACACACACACACTGTAAGAGCTGTGAGTTGACTTTGATCCGGGTTCTTACTGAATTATAGCCTGAAAAAGCATCTCAGAAAGCCCTGAGGAACAGCATGAAAGAGAAAGGGGGAGAGGCCAGGATATCCGTGACTGGGGCTAGGAAGCATGTGCAGTCAAGTGCACATATCAATAAAAGGTTACTGCTAATCATGAGGAAGACGTATCTAGTTAATGACTTTAGAGCTTTTTTCTTTTTCTATGAAATGTGCAAGAATCTGGGTTCATTAAAATTCTTCTTGAGATACCCAGCTATCTCAGGGGCCTCTTTTTTTCCAAAGCATGAAGTGCCTCACCCTGTTTTGTCCTGAACTCTCAGGGTGCAGTGTCAGTGCGACTACAATGACTAATGACTAATCCTTGTAGAACTGGATGGTGGGCAACATTCTTTGTTTTAGTTTATTTACCTGCCTCATTAAAAAAAAAGTACTGAAGCAGGCAAGATGGCATCATGAACCCAAGCTCTTTCTGTATTTCTGCTCCACCCCACCCTCAGAAGGTGCCTTCAAAGAGCCTCACAGTCCAAAAGAGCTGGCAGAGCTCCAGCCCTCAAACCTACATTCCAGGCTACAGAAAGGAGAAACAGGGGAATGAGGACTGGCTGTTGATGGGCATGGGGCTTCTTTCCGGAGTGATGAAAATGTTCTTAAATTGATTGTGGTGATAGTTGGACAACTCTGTGAATATACTAAAGAAAAAAAAAACACTGAATGGTATGCTTTACATAAGTAACACGTGATTTGTGAACTATATCTCAATAAAGCTATTTTAAGAATCACGTAATGTGATACTAAGTGACAGAAAAGAACAAGATTCTTCTAAAAAAAAATTGTCACCATAAACAAAGTAAAAAGACAAACAGAAAACCTGGGGGAAGATTGAGCACCTAGAAAATACAAATCGTACACAACATTGTAAGTCAACTAAAGTTCAGTTTAAAAAACTAATAAACCAACATTGGTAATGACTATTAAAAAAATACAAACCATCCCTGAACAATGCAAAGCGGCGGCTCTCACTCACAGGGGACGGGCAGGCTGGAAACACGGCTCAGATACAACATTGCAAACTCACTATACTTCAGTTACAAGAACAAAGAAAAAGAAAACCCACAGCTCAATACCATTTCCATTGACTGGCAAAGGGTTCTAACCCAGGACTGCACGGCGTGGCTGCAGGAATGGGGGTTCCACGCCTGTAGAAGGCGATGAACTGGTTCTCCCTGCTCGGGCAGTGGTCAGCGCCCACCAAACACAAAAGACCCAAGAATGGAGCCACGGCCTAGGGTCCCAGAGCCAGGAAGGGCGGGGCCAGGCTGACTCGGATGGGCCATTGGTCCTGATACAAAGTCCTGGCCAGGGCGCTGCGCTGACAGGAACCCCTCCTATCGCCAGGGCACAAAGGTCAGGGCCTCACCTCCGAGGATCACTGGCCCAGGGGCCGGACTCTGATTTGAAGCCCCTTCTCACACTTGCGTCACCACAGCCTGGGTCACCCGTTCAATCGCCACATCAGCTGTGGATCACTGATCCAGCACCTTCCGGTACTGGGTACCGGCGGTGCCAGGGAGGGGCAGGAAACGGACCCAGCTCTCCAAACGCAGACTTCACCCCACGCCCCCTAAGGAGGGGCAGCTCCCCGTGGCTGCTGGAACCAATCACCCCCGAGCCACTGGCCCAGAACCACAGAAGCATATGGCCCTGCAGCTCTGCAGGTTAGGCTCCGACGGCTCTCGGGGCTCCAGCCGCGGTGTGGGCGGGGCTCGCGCCGGCGGAGGCTCCGGGGGAGTCTGCTCCTTCTCCAGCTAGATTCCTGGCCCCTCCCCCGCCGCCCAGGCCAGCAACGACGGGTGGAGTCCTTTTCTACGCCTAGTCCCCCTCTTCTGCCCCTCTACTCCACTTTTAAAGGCCCTTGGGATGACACGGGCCCACTCGGATAACCCACAACCAAGGCCGATTAGAGCCCTCCCTTGCCCTCTGCCACGTGGGGTGACGTATGTTCAGGGTTCGGGGGTTGGCACGTGGACGTCCTGGGGAGGCCACTACTCTGCCTGTCTGAGGGCGTCAGGCCCACGGGACATCCACACGCATCACCTCACACCGCCCCCTCGGGAGGTGGTGTTGCCGAATCAGACAGGAGGTTTAATCAACAGAGAAGATACTGACGTGAAGCCGAGATGGCCGGTGCCCGCGGGAATCTCCACAGCTCACACGCGACACTGGAGCGCTTCCAGACAGTTTTGAACATAATTGAATAAACAGTATTTTAACTCTGAGAGAGTTTAGAAGAAAAAGCAGCTCATCACTCAATTTATTTCTATTTGCCTAAGCTCCCCTCCACGTGTCATTTTCACAATCATAATCCAATGTAGAGTTGACTTCCCAGGGGAGAACAAGTCAGGTCAGAAGAAATATCCAGAGGGCCAGTGAAAACAAAACCCCAGAATTTAAAACATGGGACTGAGGGGAGGACTGGGGGTGGCTCAGTGGCAGAGTGAGTGCCTAGCATGCATGAGGTCCTGGGTTCAATTCCCGGTACCTCCATTAAAAATAAATAAAGAAACTTAATAACCTCGCTGCCCAACCAAAAAAATAAAATTAAATTAAAAATTTAAAAAACCCACATGGGACTGACATTGTAAGATTAGGGCATCCTAATGTTTCAAGAAAACAAATTCCTAAAATGCATTGCTATGTCTTATTACGAAGATACATACACATCCCACCGAATCCTTGAGGTGCACCCAGCAAAAGGCTTCAAACTCAAGTAGGGAGAAGGACCCCGGAAGTACCTGTCTGGGAAGGAAGAGCATGGAATTTATGTCCCCTTTTCCAGGGGCGCAGAGCAGCAGAGCAGGGAGCCCCTTCCTGAAAGCCCCTAGCTGCCCGCCCCCCCACCACACCCTCGGGGCTCTGGCGGGGCAGCTCGCCTGGGAACCGCATCTCCTCTGTACCCTGATCGCCATGATGCAACCGCCACTTCCTGCATCGGCCCTGGGACCCACACCGGGGAGCACTGCGCTCTCCGTGGACGTCGTGCTGCCCCCCGGCCAGCACACCCTGCCGGGGAGAAATCCCAGCCGCACGGCGTGCCCACGGTGACTCCAGGGTGCTTGGAGGTGCCTGCCTCCGCGGCTGGGCCGTCCGCACAGAGAGGCCGTCCCTGGTCGCACCTCATGACAAAGTGGGCCCGGGGACAATTATGACCTTGAGACAGAAGGTGGCGGTGGGCTGTTTAAAAGAGGAGGGGGAAGATGATGACGTGATGACTGCAGGTGAGCAGACCTCTGGCCAGGCTCTGCCGTCAGCACACACACACAGAATGCCAAGACACACCCGTGCCTGCTGGGCCACCACGGGCACAGGCAGAGCAGCACTGGGCGGACACTGGGCTGGTGGGGCCTCTCCGCCCCTGCCCTAGTCACATTCTGTCCCCACCCCTTCGCAGAGAAGCTTTCCTGCCTTTTCTTTAGGACCAGTGTCCCTGCAGGCAGCTGCGACCTCACCTGGTGGTCAGAGCCCTGCCTCCTGTAACCACGTGCAGGGTGGGCCTGGCTTCCAGCCCCGGGCCTCCCGTCCAGCCCCACACAGTCACGGAAGGAGAGCGGGGGCCCCTCAGGCTGGGATCCCATGAGCAGAGCTGGCAAAGGGACAGCACACGCATCTACTGCCCTCTGGCTTGAAGGGGCTCAAAGGGGAAACAGCACAGCCAGAGGCTCTGTAGGGACGCCTGGCGGGGAGGGAGCAGGCCCACGCCCCAGCACTGCTCCCAGCTCCCAGGTGACCCAGCTGAGCTCCAGGGCAGGTACACGGTGGCAGACAGACCCGGAAAGGCAGATGGGGGCCAGCGCCAACTTCCTAATTCTTGAGTTTTAAGAGTACGCCACTCTAACCACAGACCAAGCCTGCCTGGCTCACTGGTGACAGTCCTTAAGTTAAAGATCACCACCACACACAACTAAGGTAGAGTCAAGGCAGCCTGCCAGGAAAGGTCCTTGGAGGGGCTGGCGGCTGGCCTGGGACACACCTGGCCTGCGAGGAGTACGGCCCCGGGGAATTGGGAGACCAGCCACAACACAGGATCCCGGGCTGCAGGGGACCCGTGGGACACAAGCCAGAGGGTGTTGAGAAGGACCCGGCGAGAGCAGAGAGAGGGAAGGGGCTGCAGCAGGGACTCGGGGCTCTGCGCCCGTCCCCACAGTTGCCTGCAGCGGCCGTGGACAACACCCAAGTCCTACCGTGGGGAGAGGGCTGGTTTGGGAGTCTGATCTGCACCACCCGCCCAAGCCTCCGAGGGACCTCCCAGGTCCTCCAGGGGCCTCTGAGCTCCCCTGCTGTACACGAGCCCCTGCAAGGAGAGGCCTGTCCACACCTGGGATCTGGGGGGCTGGGTCTGCAGACAGCACACAGCCCTCCCACCACCGGGGCGGACCACCGCTCAGCCGGGTGACCTGGAGGTGTTTATCTGAGTTGCCGGTCCCCTCGTGTCCCCTCAGCCTCCCCACACCCCAAGTTCTCTGGAGCTCACCTGGCGGTGGTCAGCCTGGGAGCCCGGAGCCAGCCCTCCGAGCCCGCTAGCCCCTCTGCTCAGCGCCCCGACCCCTCAGACGCGGCTTCACTGCCGCGCCCCTGAGCAGAGCAACGCCTGCAGCCACACTGCCACCGCCTCGGGGCCTGCTGTGAGAACTGTACTCGGGAGCATCTTCTGTTTTACTTTCTGTCCACGTAGTTGAGGATTCGAGAGTTCAAACGTTTCACCTCCTAAAAAAGTACCCTCTGAGGAATGCGCCTGGCTGGAAGGGAGCCGGCCGGCCCGGAGCCAGCGAGGGAGGCGCTGCCAGCCGAGCGGCCCCGCCCAGAACCAAGGGGCCAACACACAGCGCATCAGCAGCAAGTGGGTCAAAAAAAGTTTATTGTGAATATTTAATTTAAAAAAATCATACCTATGAGGTGTGCTACAGAAATTTAGATACAGTAATTGCATATAAAACCCAACCTAATTGTGGTAAAGCAAATGCACTTCGGGAAAGAAAACGTGTCCCTCGGGGCCACAGACGTCCCCACACGCGCGTCCCCACGTGAGCATCTGGGGTCCGCCACCCTGACCACGCAGGGCTGAGCGGGCCTCCTGGTCCCTCAGGATGGGTCCCTCAAGTCCCCGCAGAGCTGGCACGGGGCGCCGTGGGCCAGAGCACCCACGTGCTCGCTTGTGCTTCTCAGCCAAGTCGATCGATCAAACTTCGCTATCACTGAGCATGAGGTTTGCCCCCTTGGCGGCAGGTGTTTCCAGCAGTTTACAACCGGGGAGGGACCTGCCCCCCACAGCAGGGTGGCTGTTCGCCCCCAGGGCGGCCACAGCCCCGCTGCCTGGGGAAGCTGACCACAGGCCTTTGGGCCGGGAGCCGGAGACAAGCGGGGAGGACCTTGCAGGGGCCGGGGGACGCTGCATCGCGGGGCAGGGCCGCGGCTCAGCAGCCCTCCTGGGCGGCCGGGAACGGCCAGAGAACCAGGACAAGACGCGGGGCAGGAGGTAGGCCAGGGTCAAAAGCTGCGGGACCTCACAGTGCCGGGCGCTTTCCCACATAACCTCAAAGCTCAGGTTCTTTCTAGCCACTTCCCTCCCTGCAAACGCTGGGACCTCAGAGACGCTGCTGAGACAGCGACTCCTAACACCACGGCGGTGAGGTGCACTCGGGACAACCGAAGTGGCTCCACGCGACAGTCGATTTGGCAAAAAAAGAAAATACCTTAAATGCATAAAAATAATTACCGAGTCCCCCAAGGAGCATAATCACAATATTTCAGCAAATCCTGTGGCGCAAACATTTCCAAAAGCATCAGCAGAAGCATTAAATACGAAAGCGGCACGCCTGCTGCCTGGCCCGCGCTACGGCCGCAGCTCCACGTAGTTGGCGGGGAAGAGCCCGTAGCGGCCCTTGCACAGCCCGCGCCACCAGCCGTCGTCGATCATCTCGATGTTGGTGATGATGTCATCGGGGTCGAAGGAGATCTCGTCGTCACCCGCTGGGGGGGGGGCACAGAGAGGGACATGAGTGCATGAATGACCCGCCGGACTGCGCTCCCCCACAGCCTCCCACTGAGGCTCGCAGCAGGCAGGGGGCACCATCTCTGCTAAATGAGGGCAGGTCTGCTCCCACACCCTGGCTACAGCTGCCAGAATAACTGGGAGCAAGAAAGCAAATGTGCCGGGGCTCCGAAGCCAGGCTGCTGGGCAGGTTAGGGAAGCCGGGGCAGGGCTGGGAGGGGCTGGGGCAGGACAAAGGAAGGAGTAAGCACTCCTCCCAGGGAAGCAGAAGTGGGAAACCACAGCCCCAAAGGCTGGCTGGGGGCTGGGAGTGTGAGGAGGATGAACAGGACCTTGGGGGGGACCCACGAAACACTCAGAGCTGCCAAGGGCGGAACGGGGACTTTGCGGTGGAGAACCTGACTGACACCAACAGGCCGGGAGACAGCAGTGACAACCACGGCGTGGACCCGGGGAAGAGAGCGGCCGTGGGCCCAACATGATGCAGGGTTTGGAGCCGGGCCGGGCTGAGGGTCGTCCTGACGTGAAAGGCGCCCATGACCTGAGGGGCTGGCGGAGGCTGTGGGGCTGCTCCGGATCGGAGGCGACAAGAGAGGTGCCAGGGGAACCCAGGGACAGGCCCGACCAGGACTAGAGGCGCCCCCGGGCGGCGGGTAAACGGGGACCAGCTCTGCAGGCCTTGCAGTCTTTCAACGGCAACTTTTCACTCCAGGAGGAGTGTGCTTGTGATGGGCGGTGTCCTTGGCTTGGGGTCTCTAGGGGCCCAGGGCACCCCTGCAGCTGCAGAGCTCAGTGGTTCAGAGACTAAAGGGAACAGGGAGCATGTGAGTGTGTGAGTGTGTGCACGTGTGTGTGTGCGTGAGTGTGCGTGCGCGCCCTCACAGGCAGAGATGGAGAGGTGGAATCTGGTTGAGGGAGATACAGCAATTCCCTGTACTACATTTGCAACTTTTCTGTAACTTTGAAGTTGTTTCAAAATAAATTACTTTTTAAAATCGTAAAGGGAGCTCTGAGAGTCAGACTCTTAGTCAAGAGACGCGACGTGAGCTGCGGAAGCCCCCCCCCCCCGCCGTTGGCGGGGTGGCTGCTCACCGGCCTGGTAGTCGTAGAGGGCGGTGGCCGTGACTCCGAGGTCGTTCTCATACTCGTCGTAGGCCCCCTCCTCTGAAATGAACCGGCACAAGCTCTGAGAGGCCGCCCCGTCCCATTGTGCCCCGTCCACCGACCCTCCCAAGGCTGGGCAGGGAGCCAGGCGGGCAGAGACGGCACCGCCCCGCCGCCCACCCATCCCGAGAGAATCGGAGGCGGAGCTGGGGGACACAGGACCTCCCACCCCCCTCGCAGGAGCAAATCCTCCGTCCCCAACTCCGTCTCCGACTCCGTCTCCAACTCCGACACCACCCGGTGAACGCAATTAACTCCATGGACACTGTGACAAAGTACAATTTTTAAAATTTCAGATATTTAGCCCCAATTTGAGAGAAAGCCTTGTCACAGGTAAATGGCAACTGGGAGACGGGGGACCAGATGCCCCACGTTGTGCTCGGGGAGGTAAGAGCTCTGCCCTGGTGTCGATTCTGATGCTGATTCTCACGTCACTCCAAGTGGGGGAAGGGGCGTGTGTTAAACCTGTCCAAATACATTAAAGGTAACTTCATTCTAAAAGCAAGAGACCAATTTGAGCGTTCCTCCACCTGTGCAACTTCCAGAGTGCGCGGGAACCTTCATCTTTAGGGACCTCAGGAGGCGCAGGCCCCCTGGAGCTGGCTCCCCACGCCTGGAAGGCACTCAAGCTTCTACTCTGATCAGACAACAGCAGAAGCCCCTTCTTCATGCCCACCCCTGTTCAGTGCCCCGCCCCACACCAGCAGGGATCTTCCTGGAAACCCCACAGGAGGCCAAGCCCCCTGGGGACTGTGGCCCATCCCAGACGGGATGAACCCTGCAGGTGAGAAGGGGCAGCGCGGGTCAGCCAATGGGGAAACAGAAGTGATCCCAGGGGAACAGAAGCAGAGGGAGACCCCCATACCCGCTGCATAGTGGCCGGGGGCCTCTGTGGTCTCGTAGACGGCCTCCGGGGCGTAGGCCTCCCGGGAGTCGGAGACGTCTGAGCTGTACACTGGCTCCGGCTCACCGGTGCTCACGGGGCCTCCGTAGCTCGGCTCAGCCTCGAATGGAGCCGCGTCCTGGGGGAGAGGCAAGGAGACAGTCCGCGGGGCCCGTGCTGGCTCACAGTGCCACCAACAGAAGCACACGGGCCACTTTCAGTCCCAGCTGAGACCAAGAAAACAGACACGGGGATGAGGGAGCTGTTCTGAGAAGGCCTGGATCCCCGCAAGGTGATGCAGCACTGAGGGCACCTGGCGCCGCCGCCTCCTGACAGCCCTCGCCCTGACACCCCTGAGCCCCATGGCCACTAACCCTGCACGGCCAGTCAGGACGGCTGGCCTGCCCGCGCCCCCATTACAGCCGCTCTTCCTGGGGCAGGTCTGGCCTGTTTCCTACCCGGGCCCTGACCCCGAGGCCAGCAGCCCTCCCACAGCTCTGCCAAGAGCTCCACCCATCCCACTGGCGGAGCAGCCAAGCCTGTGGGTGGCGGACACC